CAGGATCCATTGGCCCTCTTGGCCACTTGGGCACCCCTGGCTCATGTTCAGCTTCCTGTCCATCCAAACCCCCAGGTCCCTTCCTGCCTGGCTGCTCTCCAGCCACTCTGTCCCAGCCCGTGGGGCTGCAGGGGGTTTTTGTGGCCAAAGTGCAGGACCTGGCCTGGTTGAACCTCATCCCACTGGAATCAGCCCAACTCTCCAGCTTGTCCAGGTCCCTCTGAAGAGCCCTCCTGCCTTCCAGTAGATCAACACTCTCCCCAGCTTGGTGTCATAAAGCTTGGGAAGGGGGAATAAAGCAGTTGTCTGAAGGGTTTTGTCATGATTTGGAGGCTCAAAGCTCAGAGGTTGAGCACATTTTCGTGTATTCCCATGTGGTCACATGCAGAGGGGATTGTCCCTGACATGGTCCTGGTGTGTGTTTCCCTCATCCCTGCTGTCCCAGTGGAGGTGATGTGGATGGGAATGCTTCGTCCTTCCTCTCCTGCTGCCAGTTTTTGGGAGCAAAGCCCAGCCTGGCCCTGCTCAAGCACTGAGCCCACCTGCTGTGGCAGGACAAGGGGTGCAGACACATCCCCCTGCTGCTCTCCTGGCTCCATCCTCCCTGAGGATGCTTTTAAGTCCATCCCCCTTTGCAGGCTCAATCTTTTGGCTCAGGGACAGGCAGCAGCACTTGCCCACCAACTCAGGCAGATCCCTGCTCCCCTTCCCTGCATCCCTCTGCAAAGGTTCCGGGCAATGCCCCCAGGTTCAGGAGCCCTGAGCAGAGGGAAAACAAACCAGCAGCTCCTGCACCACAAGTGGTGCTCAAATGGGTTTATCACCCCCTGCCCCACGTGCCAGGGCTGTGAGGGACCAGCACAGTCATCCCTCCTGTCAGAGGCTGTGCAGCATCAGAGTTGTACAGAACTGCAGCGTGATAAAGTCTAATCATCCCATCTCATTACATCTCACTCAACATATGGAAATCATGCTTATCTGCCTGGAGCTGCCCGAATTATCCCAGCTTCCAAATGCAGGATTTCCCTCTGAATAGAGCCAAGGAGAATAAAGACTCTGGTGGTTTCAGGCAGCTCCTGGGACGGCGGTGATGGCATCAGTGAGCTGAGACAGTTCCCAAATTGGTAAAGCCCTCCATGCCTGGGGATGGTACATTAGCCCATCACGGTAAGCAAAGTGCTCCACATCTGTCCTTCACCCTCCCAGGGACCCAGAACATCTCCTGGATGATCCTGATGCCCCAATCCATGGCCATGAGGAAGTATTTTTAATAAAAAATTGATTATTTGGGATATTTTTTATGCTCACTGCCGTCCAACCAAGCCAGGCTCTTTGTGCTCAGCTCTCTGCCCTCCTGCCCCCTCGACTGATCCCCCTGGATTTGGTGCCCGTGGGGAGGATCCCCTTGGCTTTTCCATGAAGTCATTACCACAGTGTAAAATCTGACCTCTCAGCAGCAGAGGCGGTTGCTGCACCTGCAGAGCACCCAGGACAGGCTGTTCCCAATCCCTCACCGCCTCCAGGACCTGCTGAATTCCTGCAACCCCTGAACACGGGAGCGCACTGCAGGATAAAGCTTCCAGCCGGGAAATGTTTATTTCTCTCTCACCGACACGAGGAGCGATCAGTGGAGTTTTCCTTTCACTCACAGTGACCCTGGACAAGGATCTGTTTCCATCTCAACCGGCTCACCGGGAAACCCGATCGCTGTGGGTGCTCGGGAGGGGGCGGCTCGGGATGTCCCTTGCAGCGGGGCTCAAGTCCCACCCGCAGCGGGACAGCCAAGTACAAACCCACCCGGGGTCACCTCTGAGGCCTCGGAGGTGTCTGAGATGTGTCCTTGTTCAGGGACCTGCTGGGGTGGGGTCCGAGCCAGCCGGGGTTGGGAAGAAGGGAGAAGCTCCCGGGA